CACAAAATCATCTACAGAACAAAAGGGGTGTGGGCAGCATGTGGAGGTGAGAAGTTTAGAAAGCTCATCAGCTGAATTACCAGTGTCAGACACATTTCAGGTTTCATTAACAGGGTAACATGACTTCTCATCTAACCTCGTCACTTGGTCTCCTGCCAACAGGACATGCCCGAAACCCCTGAAACAGAGGGTGCCCTGATGAAATATCTGAAGCACCCCAGTGGGTTCCTCTCAAAGTGGAGGAGTAGTGGCTATATTCAGAGTCCCTCCTGACTGTCTAAGCTTCTCCTGCCAAGGAGCCTTGTATCAGCTACTCATTCTTTCAGTCATCCCCCAAAGCTCATGACCATGGCTGAGGGCGGGAATGTAGTAGAACAGGGGTGTCAAACTCAAACTCACACTGGGCCGAAATGAAAATCTGGGATGAAGTCAAGGGCCAAACTTCATATTTTTTGAAAAAGTGACAGCAAATTTGCTCATTTTCTTTAGCAAAAAAACTGCAATTTTGAACCTTTTAATTTGGAAACAAACTTATTTCTGCATTAACACTGAATGTGGAATAACCAAATTACACACGAGCAAGTCAGTTTTAAATAAAAGGCATCAGTGGTATTCATTACTTGTGGTATATTCAGCATTTTTAAAATCTATTCAGGATTTATGTTTTCTTGTTGTTTATTCATTTTTTTTTATTCTCCTTTTTTCTCCTGTAATATGTGTCATCGCTGCTGTGACGTCTAGCTTTCCCCACTGAGGAACAATAAAGGGATTTTCTATTCTATTCATCTATCTGCAGCCTTTCCACTTCCTGTTTACTGTAGGTTAAATCTTTGCTCACGGGCCAACAACAAAATAAAAACATAATTTTTATCTTAAATGAAAATGCAACATCTCAACTTTCATGTTTTGGAGCAGAAAAAGAGCAGAAAACCAACATATTTAAAGCTCAGTTTTCTCCACTGGTTTACTGTGATGCTCACCTGTTCCAGCCAGATACCTGCATCATGGGATTGATCTAAGCTGAGGAGGAGACTCCTGTTGTTTTGTTCATCTTCATCATAATAATGACAACATTAGATGACAACAGGTGCTCACATAGGTTTGTGCTGATGAACATGTCTGAGCAGCTTGACCACGTTGTTGTGTGTCGGCGAGGAGAAATAAAAACTACAGCAGCCACAGAGTCATGCTGGTTTGAGCGTGTCGCTGCTCGCTGGAGTTATATCGGCTCTGTCTGGACGTTAGTTGGAAAACTTTCTCTTTCAGTCGTGAACACATTACTGAGCGGTTAAAATCTCCGTTTCAGGGCTTCAACGTCGGCAAATAGCTGAGTAAACTCGGCGCTGAGTGAGAGGAGTGTTTAGTTAGTCCGAGACAGCGGAGCTGCAGACACCGGCAGCAGACGCTGGAAAAAACAAAAAGGAGGGGGCGCGTCGGCTCCGTGCGAACGCAGCCAAGCACCATGGGAGTTGTAGTCTTTGCGGAAAAATCGGCCAGCGGGTCAGTTTTAATATATTTTTATATTTATCTCGCAGAAAATCAAAAGGTTTTCTTTCTGACTTTGCTCCCTCTTCACTACAGCAAAGTAGGGATGTAAGAAAATAATATCGATATGGCAATATATCGTGATATTATTTCCTGCAATATCGATATTCAAAAGCTGTGCATCAAATTTTTTTTACGAATTTACTTGCTAACATTTATGTGTTTTCTTTTCTTTTGGTGCAACTCAAATGCCAACCACTGGTTATGGGCAGTGTGCAATGGGTTTTGTTTCCACCATTGAAACGTAAATCCCTCTATTATGGTTCAGATTCCTCATGTTAAGTATCAGTTTGGACTGTTTATTGAATTTTCCTAATCCAATCCAATCCATCTTTATTTGTACAGCACTTTATACACAACACTGTTGACTAGGGCTGGGCAATATGACATAAAATCAATATCACGATATATTGAGGATTTCACCTCGATAATGATAAATGGACGATAACGACAGGTATGTGCAGAAACAAAAGTTGTCCACCAGGTGGGGCTGTCACATGTATTATGTTGAGTCTCATTTTTTCATAATTCAAGGTGGTACAGCTTCTTAAAGTGACATGAATGCTACCAACCTACACACATCTTTTGATTTTTTATTATCAAATTTATTGACATGGGAAAAATTACCTGATAAGTGTCAGAAATTTCGATAAGGATAAATTTTCGATTTATTGCCCAGCCAGACCAAAGTGCTTCACATGCAGATAAAAACATACCAACATAATTAAAAACAATAAAAACATGGATCATATATTAAAACATACAAAAACATTGTAAAAGAAATTAAATGCAATATTGCTTAAAAACAGAAGTAGATAAGAACAATCAGTCAGTGTTAAAAGCCAGTGAATTATAGTGAGTCTTGAGGGGGGACTTAAAAATGACCAGAGAGGATGCCTGTCTAATATTGCTTGGAAGCTGTTTCCAAAGTTCAGGCTCAGCCATCAACAGCTGCTGGTCAGCCAACCTCAACTGGCGAGTTGGCTCATATGGCACCAGCATGTCCGCTAGGTAGGAAGGTGCCTGTCCATTCAACGATTTGTATGCCAACACCAGTATTTTAAAACAAACTCTAAAAGCAACTGCGACCCAGTGCAGAGAAGCCAACACCAGGGTGACATGCTCATGCCTGCAAGTGCCCATTAGCAAACGAGCCGCAGCATTTTGGACTACTGAAGTCTATTGAGACAACTCTGACTCACCCCGACATAAAGACTATTACAGCAGTCAAGGTGACAAAAGCATGAATGAGTCTTTCCGGATTACTTCTCACCAGAACCGACTTGACTCGGGCAAGCTTCTTTAGTTGGAACAAGCAGGACTTCACCACACAGTTGATCTGCTTATCGAACTTCAGCTCCGCATCAGCCTTCACCACTAAGTCAGTGATGTCCTTCGTAGGAACGGATGCCAACAGGTCCAAATGAGAAGGGGAGATGGTTGATGCCCCACTAGGTTTAAAGTACAATAAACTCAAGTCTAAACAAATCTGGCTGAATGTATCACAATATATCGTATCGCCTGCCCTGTATCGTGATACGTATCGTACTGCCAGAATTTCATCAATACAAACACTAAAATTGTAAACCCCAAAATAATAAAGATTTTTTAAATGAAAGGGAAAAATCCACCAAAAGGATCATGATTTATGCATCAAGTATCAATATCTTGTTATTTGACCGGACAGTTCTGGAGAAACTCGTCTTCCATGGGTTATCTGACTCATTTAGTGGAGTCCTTGATGAGGCACCATCAGTCACATCATCTCTTAGCAGCTGTTTTCAGATTATTTACATAACACCTATTCACAACTGCAGTCCTCTTGAGTGCTAAAAGAAATCAGTTCAGGCACCGCAGTCAGATTAACATGTAGTCTAGTTAAAATCTTACTGTAATAACCATTACAGCCTGCATTTACCCTGAAGTTCTGGTAAAGGAAACACACCTAGTGAGCATCATGGAAGAAGCTGCAGTTCTGACAGAAGAACACAAAACCGGACTGGAATGCATCAGATACAGTTTCTGAGAGAATAAACTTGGGACAGATGAGAAACAACTGGAGCTGATTGATGAAATTTGGTTTGCAGATTGCTCATCTGTATGCAACACTCCATCCTGACAGGGAAACTGTTTCGCTTCTGTTTGGAGGATCTGCTCACTCAGCGAATAATTAACAACAGGACTGATGATGTTGGTATAAGACCTTTTCTGACCTCTCCTGCACCTCCACTGGCTTCTCTGAAGGCGGTGTCCTGTCAACAGGACCTGAAAACTGTCGTGTGGAGATTTGATGACCTGCCAAACCTGAGACACCTGAAGCACTTTGCCTCAGGGAGAGTGGACCAGAACATCTCATTGAGAAGTCCAACGTTCTACTGCTGGCACTGATTGCTGCTAAAAGGAACCATCTCTTTTTTACATGTTGTTTACTTTTCATTACATGTTCTAATTTTGTCCTTTGAGGGTGCCCATACACTCACCACAGGTAATGCAGCAAAACTACAATACAGGTGAGAGAGCGTTAGCTTTACTACCCATATCCAGATGTTGGTTCACCTGTCTGGAACTGGTTCTGGTTAAGGTAGCGCGACTCGGGTTGCGAATGACCACAGTCACCAATTCTATAATTGTGTGTACTGAAACTCTAATTTCCCTCTGGGATTAATAAAGTATCTTTGAATTTGAATTGAATTACTGCTGATTCAGAACAGACCAAAACCAGCTCCAGTGCCAGAAGAGCCCATTACAGTTTAGACTATTTACTTCACAGCAGCAAAGACAATAATCAAAGAAGAAACTAGAAGTCATGAAGGAGTGGGAACGTGACAGTTGTGGGCGTGGCCTGTAGTGTCATTTTGACAGGTTCTCCAGGCCACTTCTGGATCTGTACAGGTTTACCTTTCTCCGGGAAATAACGTTTATTTGGTGTGTTTAATAATAAATACTGAGCCCGAAGCGTTTCACCAGAGCGACCATCTAAACATTCTGAAGCTCTGAGACACTCATCTAGGACGGTTGTTTGTGATCTATACCATATTTTCTATAATTTTCTATTACTTTTATTATTTTTTCCACATAAGAGTCCTCTGAGGTGGAGCGTGATAAGGTGGTGTCCAAACACTTCCTACAACAACCAAAGCGGAGTCACCACAGCTCAGGCTCCAGCAACACACACTGTGTGTGTGTAAAGCCCGGGGACTAGGGTAAAACCTGAACCGGTGGGGCAGGCCGAGACGAAACCCCGGAACACCTTAAACATAAGTTTGCTTTCTGAGCCAATTCAAAGGCACAGCTCTGGAGTTGCACTAGCACAGGCCTAGCCCAAACGACCGCTTGTTGCGCCACATATTAGCTGACTTCTGAGCAACAGCGCAAACAAACGTGCGCCAAAGCTCTCTGGAGAACACCCTGTCAGTTCTGGTGGGTCTCAGCCGGGAACAGACGCCGTATCTTACCAGGAAAGCGCAGCGCTCCGTGGCTAAACGGTGATCAGTTTCCTTCAAGCCACAGCACCAACTCACTATGAGTCACGTGACAGGCAGGCACAGCGCTGATGGGCTGTTAAAGGGTCAGCACCATATTTCGTTGGTGGAACATTAGACTGAGCTTCTTCCTCGCCACTCAACGTTACTTACAACCGGCAAATATTCCAATAGTTAAAAGGAACAACCCATGTCAAACTCAGACGCAACAAAGGGCTTTTATTTTGAAATGATAACACCAAGCAGTGAAAAAATAAGGACGGCACGGTAGCGGCATGTGTATGTGTAAAAAATAAATAAATAACAAGTAAAATGACGTGTTAAATTATAAAAGTACTATGATGTCAATATGACTTGTCACTTCATTCCAGATCACAGTTTTCCTCAGAGGCTCAGGCGCCTCTTCAGGGTGATTCTTTGAACTTGGTGCCTGTTGTGTCCAACTGGTTTACCATCATATAAAGTAAATGACAAAATACATTTAAAATAAGAAATGGCAAAGTCTATGTTCCTTGGCACTAGGACACACAACCAAATTTTTATAATTACGTTTTTAAAAGTTAGATGAGTTTCTGAATAATAGCTGAATGAGTCACAAATGACCAAAGTTGCTGTTTCAGTGAACATAATGTAAATGTAATTAGACAGTGACCAGAATATTTTCTGCCAATATAGTTATTAGCCACTCACCTTAACCCAGCAAAACAAAATATTTAAGAAAGACAAATGAATTATCCATAAAATTGTACAAATTAATCATGTCTCCATTTTTGTTCAAACCCATAACAGAATATAATTCCCCTTTCTTTCTTTTTTTAAATTTCTTAATTATTGTTCAGTCAAACTTGCTCTGCAACCAGCAAGTGAAAACACTCGAGTCTTTTCCTGCTCATACAGAGGTATACTTCCCTACCTATATTTTATCATTTTTATCATCACAGTGACATCATCAGGCTCAACCTTTCAACACTACATGCATACATTTTAGTTATGATGGTTTTTAAAAAGCTAATGATTGAATTTGAAATATACATTAACTATTTCTCCTCTTCCTATATGATGCTCCGTATGCTAGCTTATGTTAATTTATAGGGGCAGCAGAGTAGCCCCTGACTGCGGTGCGCAGATCGGGGCGGGGTGCAACGTGGGCGGAGTCAAAGCGCCATGTTGAAAAAACCCATGTAGAGGCAGGCCGCCATTTTAGATAGGTCTCCTTCGCCCCAGTGCACTCATTTCTAGAATAATGTTATCAAGTATTAACTTGACTTAAAAAGTATTTTTCTCAGTTGTACATTATTAAGATAGACTTTAAAAGTCTTATTCTGAGTCCTGGATTAATATAATGTCTGGCACGATGTACTGTTGATAAGAAATATAGCTTTGGGGGAAAATGTTATGTGATCACTTTTGGGGGGAAATGGGTTAGGCTTTCAGAATCTGTCTGTGAAGCATCAGGTATTGTTCAAACCAGTATTATTACACTCAACCCCCAAGGTTGTAGAAATGGGATGTGACAAAGCAGGGTTTGCTGTCATTACTCCATTTACATTAAACCAGTATGCTTAAAATAAGCTAGTGATCTTTTTTACATTTTGTATTGTTATTATGCCTTTAAGAAGCACATTCTGTTTCCTTTCTAGCGGAGGCTGAGAACAGGGCAGGACGGGGAACAGAGTATGTTACCTGCTGTGGGCTTTTCTAATTTCACTGTTTCTGCCTTCTCCAACTTGTATTTTAATATTTATGGTGTTTACTTTTGATTAGGAGAATTCTCTGCTGAAGGACACCTTTGAGGCAGCAAGGTGGCGTGGCACCAGATCCTTCAAAGGAAAACTTTCCTTTCCCCAGGCCATCACCATGGACAAGGAAGCTTCCTTGAGGGCAGTACAGATGAGGAGCTTAAAGATGTGAGGGAACCGTTCCTGTTCACTTTAAGTTTGCAGGAAGACTACGAGGAGTTCTGTGTTGAGCTTTGTGACAAGAGGAGGATGCAGGTGTTTGCAGGATTTGACACCCCATAAAATCTTTTCCCCTGCAGGAATGTGTTTAACGTGTTTGTGTCTGAGTGTTATGGTAATAATTTTTGTGTTCCGTTTCCTCAGTAAGTTGTTGTTTTAGAGGATATTTTTTATTTTTGTGTGCTTTTTGGTTCTTTTGTTTGTATTTTTTATACCTGTGTTCTACCGTTGACTTTTGTTTGCGTTATTAAATTCACCTTTTTTAACCCCCCCCCCCACTGTCTTTATGGGTGACCCCGCAAGGAAAGTTGACCATTGAGCAGGATCGAAGGTTTATCCCTTGAGGTCCACATGGCAGGGGTGAGGTGGTGCTCTCTCCTCACCCCTCCCTCAACACACACACACACACACACACACACACACACACACACACACACACACACACACACACACACACACACACACACACACACACACAAATGTTACTTCTAATGTTTCTGCTTTCCTGTGAAAGTAACCATCATCTTTCCATGTGTTGTTTTGTTTAACCTTATAGTCGTTCAAAAAGCAAGAAACTTGCCAGAAAAGCAAGAGACAATCCGTGCAAACAAATAGAAGAACTAAAAAACAAAGTCGAAATTCAAAAGAACTAAACAGACAAATACAAGAAAAGCATCCAGCGAGAAATCCTGCATAAAGACTCCCTCGGGTCCAAAGTTCATCAGTAGCTGAAGAATTTTAACGTGAACAGAAGAAGCTGCTACTGTGGTTTAGAGACATGTTGAGGAAGTTGAACCAATCCTTATGAGAATTTAAATTCGGATCTGAGAAACGCTCCAAAGTAATTAATAAACACTGTTATTCAACCACTGAGTTATCCGAAGTGATAGGTTGCTCCTACCCTAGATGAGCAAGGATTGTGAAGCAAGTGCCGTCTCTGCAGAGAGCATCAGTCTTCTCAATGAATGACTACATCAAGGTATGCACTTCCAGATACTTCCCAGATGATCGATGGAAGTAGTGGATTTGATCTGTTTCTAAAATCCTTGGTTTTGTGACATTTAGGTTTAAAACGAGTCACCTGACCCAGTGTCTTGCCATCCTGCCACTCAAACTGTTGGACAGACACACTGATAAATGTGTCTCTTGACATGTATCATCCGGTCACAAGGCTCTAAATATTTAGGAAGGTAGGATGAGGAGAGAAATGCTTTAGCACCCTCTAGAGGGAATAAGCTGTATTAGTGTTGATGATGAGAGTGGCCGTCTCTGAACCAGTAAGGCTTTGCTGACCACAGAGGCATCACACAGCACAAACAATGGTCAATTTACTGAACCAGTTAGTTTAATTGATGCGGTGGGAAAGTTCCCATGGTGTTTAATGATCTAAACATCTGCAGGAGGAAATATTGTATATGAATGTGAGGACAAATTCAATAAGATTGAGATGTACATCAGTTTTAAAACCTTTAAACTATATTAAAAACATTTATTTTCCTCCACAGGAGAAAGTGACGCTGAGCCATTTGAATGATGTCATTTACCGGCTGGGAGAATGACGATTTGTTTTCTTTTGTTCTTTTAACAAAATCTAGCTTTTATCTCCTGCTTTAATTTGTTTTTATAATAATAATAATAAGCTTTATTTATATAGCACAATTCATACAGGAAATGCAACCCAAAGTGCTTTACAAATTAAAATGCCCCCACATACCCACATTCCCTCCCATCTCCAGGAATGTAAAAGCATTTTAAAAACAAATACCCCCTCATACACTCATGTTCTGACACACACACATAAAAGAAAATAAAACACACTGGGCTGAGTTCAGATGAGCCAAAAAAGCTAAATTAGGGAAATGCCGTTAAGGGAGCCATCTGCCCCGACAGCGGCAGATCCACAGCGGCAGCTGAGGCACTGACACAGGGCGCCCAGGGGAGGGAGGGCGAAGACCCCCACCTCCACCTAGGCCACCACAGCCGACCACCGCCCCCGGGGCAGAGGGCTCCCACAGAGGAAACACAGGAAAAGTATAAAATAAGGTTAAGATATAGGATGAGGATTTCCAAGATGGCCGCTGGACAAGCTGTGCTGGTGTGAGTCTCTGCAAACAATTAAATCTAAAACTTGGACTAAATTCGGACTAAACTGATCAACAACATTGGAAAACTATTTGAAACAAGGAAGACAACTGCAACTTGATGAATTTACAATTGGAGTTGTGAAAGATGTCAAAGGGAAGACAAAAACAGTCTTCCAAACAAATGGAGGCAGATGCGCAAAAGCAAATGGAGAATAATCGAGAGGAAACAACTGAGGACATGTCACTGATCAAATCATCAGGTTTAGCTGAAACACTTAAAGAACTGAAGGAATTTCGAACTGAAACATCAATCAGTTTTGGAGCATTAAAAGCCGAAATGAACGAGCTACGAGTAGATTTCATGAACATTAAAAAAAGAATGAAGGAAGCTGAACAGAGAATTGCTGAGAACGAAGACATGCAATGAAAACCTCCAAAGTGTTAATACAAATGCTTCAAGTGCAAAAACAATTAGAAATAAAATGTGAAGAACTTGAAAGCCAAACCCGCAGAAAAAATATAAGAATCTACTCGGTACCAGAAGATTGTGAAGGGAATAACATCATTGATTTCGTAAACAAATTGGCTCGGGAAAAGCTGGAAGTGGCTGATGAACTGCATCTTGAGAAGGCACACACGTTGGGCCGAAGACAGGACGAAAGGAGCACCCCAGAGCGATTCTGGTTCAGTTACAATCATATGCTATGAAACGGAAAGTACTAGAAGCTGCTTGGAGAAAAAGAAATATACAAGTGAAGGACCAAAAGATCTACTTCGACGAGGACTTTACAAGAGCTGTGTTTAAGTAGCGTGCAAAATACAAGAAAGTGCGGAAAATACTCAATGAAGGGAAAATTAAGTCACGGATTCGGTTTCCAGCTAGACCAAAGATCTTCTGTGAGGACGGGAAAGTGCGACTATATAATGAACCCCAGACTGCTGCAATTGAATTAAGTGAGTTCGGAGTAAAGATGAATATTCCAGAAGAAAGGGAAGATCTGGAATCAATACTGAGGAGCACAGGATGGAAGTTGAAGGAGAAGAATTCCCGGCCATGAACTGATGAAGGAGTCAAGGTCTCTTGAGATACACAAGAGATGAGGTACTTTTGGACAAATAGCTATGGTAAAATCTGCTGAAAAATCCTTGAAAAGATTTCAAGCTGCAGAATATAAAACACTTGACTATGAAACCAATATTGATCCAGATAGCAATCTGCTAAATGCAATTAATGACAATTGTACATATTATATAAATGATAGCAATAGAAAGGAAGCAATAAACAGCAGGTCTATTTATTGATTTAAGTAAAGCATTTGAGACCATAGACCATGGTTTGTTGCTTTCTAAGTTAAATAATTACGGGATAAGAGGGATAGCTCATGATTGGTTAAGTAGTTATCTGACTAAAAGAAATCATTTAGTACAGTTAGAAGATGAAATTTCAGATTCTCAAATTATTACATATGGAGTCCCACAGGGTTCTGTGTTGGGACCTAAGCTCTTTGATTTGTATATTAATGACATTTGTGATGTGTCCAAAATATTACAGTTCATTTTGTTTGTGGATGATACAAATATATTTTGTTCAGAATGACTTACAGATAGTCATTTGTCTGTTCTTAAAAACATGAATGTTCTCTGCGGCCCTGAGGTCCTCCAGCAGCCTGTTCCAGAGGCAAGGGCCTTTGTGTATATTTTAAAGGCCCTTGCATGGGTCAGTGATATTTTAAATTGTTTTATGCATGTACAGCACTTTGGTTCACCTCCTCACTGATGGAAGGAGCTTTATAAATAAAGCTGATGATGATTTCAGCAGCACAAATTGGCTGACTATGACCTTTACATATCAGCATCGGTATTGGCAAAAGAAAAGCCAGTATCACTTAATCTAATCTAATCTGGTATGGTCAAATCGTCCGTACCCACTGTCAACATTCTGTCAGAGATTTGGTGTGAAAACAATCTCCAGCTACATATTGGACATGTGGGACAGTTCCCCACTTAAAATATCAGGTGTGTTTGGGCATTTCACAATAGGATCATTACTCCGATCCTCACAAACTGATCCAGGACAGCTGTTGTGTCAGTGCTACGGCGAAGGATGTGTTTCAAGTCTTTCATAGAACTCAGGCAAAGTCTGATGACCCCTCAGCTCTCATTCATCTCATTGAGGGTTGACTGAACGCTGCCAGTGAGCTGATTTTCCAGCTCATGTGTCCCAGCTGTACAGGACCTAACTCAGAGGCTGACACTGATGACTCAGTAATCAATGTAAACTCCAATAACGAGCAGCTATGGATTACTGCAAACTCATTCTAGTCCACGTGCTGAACGGGATGTCCAGCACGTCCACTTCTGGGAACTTTCTCCATCCACAGATGTTGAATGTGACTTACTTGCAGAGAGAGAATACTTTATACCTTTTCTGAATAGTAGAAATGTATGTCACCATTTATAGTGGATGTCCACAAATGAGCTCTATTGATATCTACATAGATGTCATCAGGTTTTCTAATCTGACACAACAGTGGACACCATGAATGAGATGGCGCATTAGATGACTCTTAGAAACCCAGATTGGGCTTGTCTCAATGCTTTGGGTTAGAGTTACGATGACTAGTAAATGATGGCTCTGGTCTTACTCTGAGGATGCTGTCAGATGACAGACCTTGGAGTTTGGTGACCACCAAATCATGCTGACCACCTTCACATCTATTGAAGACTACAGAGAAAATTGGGTTAATGCCATTTAGGTGGAGGAATCTTGGATTTCTCTGCAGGTCTGGGAGACAGTTTGTTCTCACCCCAATCTTTGTGCAATAATAATTTTTCAGTGCAGGACTCATATTTAACTGAGCACGCGAGAACTAACTGTTTTATAACACAGTTGTGACCTGATGAAGCAGAGGGGGAGGACCAGTGACCCTTACCCTTACTCTAACCTTTACCCTTACCCTGACCTTAACATGACCCTGACTATTCTAACCATTTAATTCAGTTCATTTATTAGGTGCAGTTCAGAACAGAGATCTACTGCAGAAATAAACAAATCTAAACCATATCAGGTCCAAAATCAGGTTCAGACTTTGCATAGGTGAAAATGTTTGTATGTTAAACATTAGTGACATCATCAACTGTTGATTGAAAATATTCCACCTTAAAGTGGGATTGTTTAAAAACCATTAAAGCTATCAGAACACCAGTTCAGTCATGTTAAGTTTCTGACTGTGACTAACCTCTGAATCATGAAGTCCTGAGCTATGGAGCTACAAAGGGGGTGGGGCTTCCTCACCTGTATCGTCTCCTACCAAAGACACCTGCTCCTCATCTTGATGTTTAGAATTAGCTTGGTTCTGCTGAAGCCCTTAAAACTATCATGCATGCTGACAGAAGCCCAAACAGAGCTAGGTAGTTTGGTGCTGCTTGACCAGAATCATCAATCATCAAGTGTTTATCCTGTTGGCCAGAACCAATCAGCTGTTCCCAGTTACAGTCGGTACAGGTCCACACAGAAAATAGTTTCTGATCAGGAGCTGTTGATGATGGGTTTGTTTTGTGACAGAAACCCGAGACCTGGTCCTTAAAAGACTAGATGTCCTGATGGTAGCCTGCTGGTTTGGGTCAGAGCTGTAACAGAACTCAGAAATTCTGTGTGATTCCAGTGTTTGGTGATTGGTCACGTGGTCCGGGTTATGCATTTACTACCGGTAAAATGATGGGAATGAGTTTCTGGTACCACGAGAACGGTAACATCAGACCCGGGTTTCTCGTTCTACGGCTCAATGACTCATATGAACGGTACCGGACGGGTCAGCAACACGGTTCCTGTCCAGACTCCGGATGAGACGGTGATGCTGAGAAAATGGAGCGTCAGTGAGGTGGTGACGTCGGGGAGTCCGGGGGGCGGGGCCTGAGCCGGTCTCATTCATCACCAGAACACTTCGTGCTGCACCTGATACCGCCAGCGGTACCGTTTGTTTGGACCACTAGGACCAGTCACACCAGGACCCCACCGCTGGAACCACACACGGTAAGACCCGAACCCGACCGGTATGCAGAGCTGTGGGTCGGAACCGGACAGATGGCTCGGCGCTGTCCAGTAGGCCCGGTTATGAAAAGAACCCCAAGCCATTAGCATCACTACTGGACTGGGGGGAGGGGGTTGTTCTGCATTTCTGAACAGTCTGACCGGGTCAATTTTAGGGTGCACGTCTGGTTCTGATTGCACTGCGGTTCCGTCAGAACTCAGTCATGTGTGAATCGGTCGGAGATGGTGGGAGTTCTGCCTCTAGAGGCCGGTTCCGTCTAATTTAGGTCACCACGGACATTTTAATGTATCCGGAGCATCCAGCCTACTTCGGTTCTGATGTGCGAACGGACAAAACATAATGGATCCACAGAACCTTTATTATCGGTGTGTTTTCAGAAAAGACATTTGCTGGTCAGACAGACCCAGACCGGCCCTGTGCCACAGATCTGGATTAGTTTAACATCCCAGACCTGGACCAGTCCTGCATCACAGACTTGGACCAGTCCTGCATCCCAGACCTGGACCAGTCCTACATCACAGACCTGAACCGGTCCTACATCACAGACCTGAACCAGTCCTGCATCACAGACCTGGACCAGTCCTGCATCCCAGACCTGAACCAGTCCTACGTCACAGACCTGAACCAGTCCCACATCACAGACCTGGACCAGTCCTGCATCACAGACCTGGACCAGTCCTTCATCCCAGACCTGGACCAGTCCTGCATCACAGACCTGGACCAGTCCTTCATCTCAGACCTGGACTGGACTTACGTCACAGACCTGAACCAGTCCCACATCACAGACCTGGACCAGTCCTGCATCACAGACCTGGACCGGTCTTACATCACAGACCTGAACCGGTCCTACATCTCAGACCTGGACCAGTCCTACATCACAGACCTGGACCAGTCCTGCATCACAGACCTGGACCAGTCCTTCATCTCAGACCTGGACCGGTCCTACATCACAGACCTGGACCAGTCCTACATGACAGACCTGGACCAGTCCTTCATCACAGACCTGGACCAGTCCTTCATCTCAGACCTGGACCAGTCCTTCATCTCAGACCTGGACTGGTCTTACATCACAGACCTGAACCAGTCCTGCATCACAGACCTGGACCAGTCCTACATCACAGACCTGAACCAGTCCTTCATCTCAGACCTGGACTGGACTTACGTCACAGACCTGAACCAGTCCCACATCACAGACCTGGACCAGTCCTGCATCACAGACCTGAACCAGTCCTGCATCACAGACCTGGACCTGTCTTACAACACAGACCTGAACCGGTCCTACATCACAGACCTGGACCAGTCCTGCATCACAGACCTGGACCAGTCCTTCATCTCAGACCTGGACCGGTCCTACATCACAGACCTGGACCAGTCCTACATCACAGACCTGGACCAGTCCTTCATCACAGACCTGGACCAGTCCTTCATCTCAGACCTGGACTGGTCTTACATCACAGACCTGAACCAGTCCTGCATCACAGACCTGGACCAGTCCTACATCACAGACCTGAACCAGTCCTGCATCACAGACCTGGACCGGTCCTACATCACAGACCTGGACCAGTCCTGCATCACAGACCTGGACCGGTCTTACGTCACAGACCTGAACCAGTCCTGCATCACAGACCTGAACCAGTCCCACATCCCAAGCCTGGACCGGTCTTACATCACAGACTTTAACTAGTCCTGCATCACAGACCTGAACCAGTCCTTCATCTCAGACTTGAACCAGTCCCACATCCCAGACCTGAACCAGTCCTACATCACAGACCTGAACCAGTCCTACATCCCAGACCTGGACCAGTCGATCATCAAATTCTTCTAACCAAATTGAGTCATTTTAATTTCTCACCAGAGGCGCTGCTCTGGTTTCAGTCTTATCTGTGTGAGAAAACGGTGTGTGTCCTTGTTTGGCAATAAATCCTCCTACATTAGTTGTCCAGTTGGAGTCCCCCAAGGTAGTATTCTGGGGCCGATTTTGTTTAGCATTTTTATTAATGATCTTCCTGAAGTATGTTCAAAAGTAAACATTGAAATGTATGCAGATGATGCTGTTATTTTTTACTGATGTTAAAAGTCCTCAGGAAGCCTCCCAATTGCTGTCTGCATCCATGGCCCATGTACAAAAATGGGTCAAGAGTTCCCACTTAAAGCTGAACATAAAAAAACAGTTTGCATGTTTTTCACCCAAAAAAAATTTTTGAACAAAAAAAATCAAACATCTTTCTTGAAGGGGTAGAACTTGACGTTGTCGAAGAATTCAAATATCTTGGGTTAACTTTGGACCCAACCTTAACTTTTAAGAATCACATGAAACAAAAAAAAAAAAACAGTCAATTATAAACAAGTCAGGCCTTTTTTGTCACTCCATGCTGCTAAGTTATTTTTACATTCTATGATTTTGTCTCTCATGGAATTCTGTATAACCTCCTGGTCACTTGCTGTTGGTGCAACACTCAAACCCATAGAATCCCTTTTTAAATAAGCCATAAAAATCCTTGATAAAAATCATTTAGTTTCCACCACTGCTTTGTTTTAGATAAATGTAGACTTCTCAATCTTCCTTCAAGAATGCGTGCCTGGTTTTTAAGGTTCTACATGGACTAGCCCCTTTCCCCCTGACAGATTTTATTAAATCACGGTCTATCAGTGGAATGTCGACTAGGGCCACAGATAGAGGAGACTGTGAGGTGCGTTACAGGCGCACAGCTTTTGGCAAGACCACACTATCCGTTAAGGGGACTAAATATTGGAATAGTCTGCCACTCAGCATAAGAGACTCACAATCATACAGTTCCTTCAAATTCAAACTTAAACAGTGGCTGAAGGAAAATCAAACCTGTATCTATCAGTAATTTGTCCTTACAGTGGTGTTTTATGTGTTCTTTTTGTTTTTCCTAGTTTCCTAGTTTTAAATATAATACTTTACTTTCAGTTATTGCTTTAATTACCTGCCTAGGGACTGCAGATGTAAATTAGCACTGGTGCTACAATCTGGCATATTTACTGATGCAATTTATTGTTGAAGTTCATTAATATCACTGTCCCTATTAAATAAATAAAGAAAAAAAGAAAAAATCCTACATCCCAGACCTGGACCGGTCTTACATCCCAGACCTGGACCGGTCCTGCATCCCAGACCTGGACCGGTCTTACATCACAGACCTGGACCAGTCCTGCATCACAGACCTGGACCGGTCCTGCATCACAGACCTGGACCGGTCTTACATCACAGACCTGGACCAGTCCTGCATCACAGACCTGGACCGGTCCTGCATCACAGACCTGGACCGGTCCTACATCCCAGACCTGGACCGGTCCTACATCCCAGACCTGGACCGGTCCTACATCCCAGACCTGGACCGGTCCTGCATCCCAGACCTGGACCGGTCTTACATCACAGACCTGGACCAGTCCTGCATCACAGACCTGGACCGGTCCTGCATCACAGACCTGGACCGGTCTTACATCACAGACCTGGACCAGTCCTGCATCACAGACCTGGACCGGTCCTGCATCACAGACCTGGACCGGTCCTACATCCCAGACCTGGACCGGTCCTACATCCCAGACCTGGACCGGTCCTACATCCCAGACCTGGACCGGTCCTGCATCCCAGACCTGGACCGGTCCTACATCCCAGACCTGGACCGGTCCTGCATCCCAGACCTGGACCGGTCTTACATCACAGACCTGGACCAGTCCTGCATCACAGACCTGGACCGGTCCTGCATCCCAGACCTGGACCGGTCTTACATCCCAGACCTGGACCGGTCCTACATCCCAGACCTGGACCGGTCCTGCATCCCAGACCTGGACCGGTCTTACATCACAGACCTGGACCAGTCCTGCATCACAGACCTGGACCGGTCCTGCATCACAGACCTGGACCGGTCTTACATCCCAGACCTGGACCGGTCCTGCATCCCAGACCTGGACCGGTCTTACATCACAGACCTGGACCAGTCCTGCATCACAGACCTGGACCGGTCCTGCATCACAGACCTGGACCGGTCTTACATCCCAGACCTGGACCGGTCCTGCATCACAGACCTGGACCGGTCTTACATCCCAGACCTGGACCGGTCCTGCATCACAGACCTGGACCGGTCTTACATCCCAGACCTGGACCGGTCCTGCATCACAGACCTGGACCGGTCTTACATCACAGACCTGGACCAGTCCTGCATCACAGACCTGGACCGGTCCTGCATCACAGACCTGGACCGGTCTTACATCCCAGACCTGGACCGGTCCTGCATCACAGACCTGGACCGGTCTTACATCCCAGACCTGGACCGGTCCTGCATCACAGACCTGGACCGGTCCTACATCACAGACCTGGACTGGTCTTACATCACAGACCTGGACCAGTTTAACATCAGATACCTGGACCAGACTTACATCAGAGACCCAGATCAGTTCTTTATCAGAGACCTGGATCAATTCTGCATCACATACTTGGAACAGCTCTATGTCTCTGTTTGTATGTCCTGTAGGAAAAGAGCAGAACTCAGGACCAGGGACTGCAGGTCCTTGTTTTACTGACTCGCAGAACACTGGTGGTGCCAGGTCAAAGCACCTTGTGTGAATGTACCTTCTGGGTCCAGCTTTGATGTTGATTCTGCAGGGTGAGCCGTAGAACTCTCAGACAGAACCTCTTGAGAACCACACCAAAACCGTCTGACAGAGTCATGCTGATGGAAGCATGACGGTGTGAAAGTTGGAAAGGATTGTAAGTCAGTACTGATCCGCCTCCAGCTGACCACAGAAAGACCTTAAAACATCGTCATCATGAAGGTTACAACAGGACATGGACCCGGTCCAGGAGAGACGGTGGTATCAGTTAATCCTGATCATCTGATAGTGATAATGAAGTTCCGATCCAAACAGCTGTCACCATCACCTACACTCAGCTCGTCATCACAGAGGTCTCAGTGGTCTGCTCCTGGTCTCCAGCATCAATCAGAACACAAACAGA